GTAGCACCTCCCGCTCTGAATATTCACAGTGAGTATTTGCGGAGCTGTAATTAAAACACTAAAGACGTGAGTTGTGACCTCGAAGAAGGTGATGCGTCGTTTCTCCGAAGTGAACTGATACAAGTCCGGTTTTTGCATCAAGATCGCCCTGTCAATGGAGAAGAAGACGAGGCATTCGATGGCTGCCACCGTGAATATCCAGTAGAAAAACCGGGAGTGCCAAAGGACGCACACAATCTGGTTGAAAATGACACTTTTGGTGGAAATGCTTTTCGGATTCACATCATTTGCAAAGTTGATTATGCATGAAAGTAGACTGTGGATAGCCAATGTTCGAAGAAGCGTCAGGCTGGTCTTGGGTCCATGCTGCAATCGAAATAGTAATATTGTGATGAGCATATTTAGTATCATGCCACTGATCTCGAAAATGAAGTTGAAAATGTCAATCGCATCAGGCCAGTTCGTGAACGGAATGCAATACCAGAAGGTCTTTGAAACAAAATCATGGTCTGAGGCGCTGTGGTTCATGCGAGGAACGTTTCTGTGAGAAAATTAACATGCATAATCCAGGGCACATTTATTCAGTAAATTTAACCAATCACAATCGCGCACTTTAGCAGCGCTTGTGATTGGTTGTTTCTCGGCGAGGAATGTGGGTCCCTAGATTCCATTTCTTGGAACAGAGAGAAAGGCTTTTCAGTGAAAGCTGATTGGCTACTCTAACATATTCAACACAACATTTATCATTGGTTGAGCTCAGCCAGATTAACTAGACCTTATTTAACTCTTCGCTTCTGTAGATAGATCCCAAAAGCTAAGAAAGCAGAGCCTAAATCCAGGCAATAGGAAACATCATAGCCGTCTCATAGGTATTAGATTGGACTTACATATGTGAATTTAGTCGGGAGGGTTGCAGTTTGCAATGTGCATAAGAAATGACTGATCTGCAAATGACGGTAGAAGGGTGCGCTTGTGCCAAGCTTATTTAAAACTAGGAATTTTAGAAGGTGATGCTCTTAGCCAAGTCTGCACGCGGTTGTTTAAGTTCAACTGGTCATTCCCACACCCCGTCCCGAGGTGGCAACCTTTCAACTTCATTCATCTAAATGGCCAGATTAAATGTGATTTCCTTTATTTATCAGCTAGTGCTAGTTTGAAATCCATTCACGGTATCAGGAGCAGAGTGAATCGATCTGATGCTAGTGGAACAAGGGTGCGCCGGTGACAAACAACATGCGTGTTCTCTTGCCTGTTTTAGCAACTAAGTGCTGAGCACCCACTTAAAGTGGAGCCGTTCCTCACCTGAGTTTATCCACAACGCCTACACAGTGAAAACTGAACCAACTTAAATGACGCTTAGAGGGATGCAAGTCAACCGTTCAAAATGTAGAGCCTACACAGGACGTCCAGGGTGCTGACGATGCGAGACTATGGTGGCACTTCTATTAAAGCAGATTGAATGAAATTTAAGATCCCTATGTAACCCTAATGCTGTAAAGAGCCACACACGTTTACGAGAAACTACAAAGGGCGGTTTCTTAAAATATGCCCCTGTGAGAGCCTGTAATCTGCATTAACAGGGGTAAAGGTTTGATCGATTTTCTTGAAATCCTCATGACTTCATTGCCCCTCTCTCTCTCTGTCTTGCCCAATGAAGACAAATAAGTGTCCATCGACTAGTTGGATTCAAGTGTGAACAACGCTGCAAACCAC